GATTTAGGGGTTAGGGTGGGTGTTCCAGAACAGTAAGATTGTATGAGCTATGAGAAAAGCAACTTTCACACAGAGTGTGCACGAAGAGATATGGGCTGGTGCACGCTCTTGCACATGCATTTTTTTTTCTTTTAAGTGGAGAGGACGGGTCTTTAAAAAAATTTGAACAAATCCTCTACAGTACCTTTAATGTAAAGATAATTTCTGTTGCCATATAAGCCTTTCCCACTGTCCGAAAAACCCATTTAAACCTGGGAACAATCGACTTTTAGTGGTAGTTGGAACAGGTCACTGATGCTTGTCTACCCGGATCAAATGACTAGACAAGCGACCTGTGTCAAATTCGCCTCGGCTCTGATCGACATGCTATGGGAACACCAACCAGAGCCGGATGGACCTGCTAATTTACGTGACACAATTGAACGTAAAATATGGACATCGACACATCGCGCCAGCTGTGTCTGGTCTAACAACCCCAAAAAATCTCTTTTACATTCGATAAACGAAATAATAATAAAATAAATAAATAATAAAGCACACTTATAGCCCAGGCTTCCTTCCATGTTGCTCTCTGTTGTTTACTTTACTGATTTCTGTCACACTAGTGACATCATCAATGCTAACCTAGCGTGATGGTGTCACCAGACACGCAGCCGTGGGGGGACAGAGGCCACGCAGCTGCCCGCAAGGGGTTAGACGCAGCTGTTTGGCCAGTGGGAAGGAAGCCAGATGCTGATTGTAAGAGGGTCGACCCCTGTTTGAAAAACACACGTTAACATGCCATTTTCAGTGGGAAAGAGGCTTTCGCCAAGTGGTTCCTAAAGGAATGGATAAAAAAGGTAGCGAAACGATCATTTATTTTGCACCCCAGCACAGCACCACTGATTTTCAAATAATTAAGAAGGCAAGATGTTCCACCAATTCCCTATTAAATGGGTACATTAAAATTGAAAACCAAGCCAGAAGGGATTGTCATGAGACTGAGAAAATGCATGTTTGAAAAGATTATTATCAAAACAAAAAGAAGAAACTTTAAAAAATTTAAAATATGAAATATAATTAAGTTGATTAATAGCTTGAAAATCTTCAGCATAAAGAATTAGTAGTAACAAAAACAAAGACTGAATTAGCACAATACAATATTCTATTGGGGATGTAAAATATAATTTTTTTGTTGTTACTCAGTCTTGGGAAGATTGCTTCCTAAATGAGCAAAAAACTAAGCCTTACGGACAAATGTTGTAGTCTAAAACAAAATAAGTTCAGGATAATGTTTAACATTTAAAGGGACAGTATGTGACAAATGGGACTTTTTATTAGCAAAAATCAAGCACTGGTTTGATTAATACGTATTTTAATTCTAATAACATAACATCCAACATGAAAGAGCTCTCATTGCTTAGAATTAGGGAGGTTCACTCAATGGGAGAGGCCATGTTACATCACCATTTGTGATCAGAGTAGCCAAAAAAGGAGAAACATGTCAGCATTTTACATTTATCTGAAAACATGTTTTGGGTGGCTGAGGAGTTTAAAACAAGCAAAACAACTGTAGATCACTGTACCTTCCACTCTCAGTTAAAATGAAGGCCCATGCATATTCTTTGTCCAGTAAGAGGCAAGAGAAACAAACCGAAAGAAGAAAAATAAATAACCAGGCGTAGACAAGAGTCTGCATCAGCGCATCTTTTATACGGTGGAGGCGATTTATGAGGGAGCGGGGCTTCAAAGCAAAGCTTGCAGGCTTTCTGCTGTACAGCAAGGATAATTTATATTTTCTGTTATGTTAGCAACAGGGCAGCGGGTTCCAGTAACTTGCCTGTCATCCCTGCACAGATGACTAGTTTGTTTGTTAACATATACAGGATGAGCTCTGTGCAACTGTTATCAGCTGCTGTTGTTCTTCACAAAAGTCATACCGGCTAACAAGAATAAGCTTCCTTCAGCTTTGTTTACTGAGAAATGTTCCACATGTTTAATCGTTTTAGCTGATTTTAAAAAGGGTGATGATAGAGTTCAAACAGAGTAGAATATCACTCTTTGGCTTCCATAGTAGGTCTTGCATGCTTCACAGAGAAGAACCAGTCTGTCATTGGTAATTCATTTAGTGCACCACTAGATAGATAAACTCTTACACACTGTCTCTTTAAAAAAAGATCAAAGATACTTTCTAGCTTTTCTAAAGAGTTTTCAAAGACATATTTCCATCCAGGCCACAGAAAACCGCACTTACATTCTGTCATTCACTTCCAACATGAAATATAACGTGTGGTTTGATGGCTTAATATCAACAGAGCAGCAGTAACTCTTGGCTGATTTCTGGAGGGAAGTTATAGTTGGATTTATTTCCAAAGCAGTTTCAGTTAAATGCTGCATCATTGGAACCTGATAACGACACATTTTTATTTCAGAAAACTATTTTTCTAATTTTGTGCAACTTTTTTGGTGTAAAGACACTGTAGTAGCAATTAGTAGCAAAAAGGGAAATAAAGTGCTGTAAGAATTAACATAGTTCTCATAACTAAACTAGATAAAATAAAACTCTATACTTCTTTAACTTAATATAATGTAGAATAACTAAATGCATTTTTTTCTGATACTGATGATGGGCCAACTGTTCATCTTCTCAAATATGTGAGCTGCAGATAAATTTGCAAGAGTAAAACAGATTTTACTTTGACCGTGCATGATGGCAACATTACAAACAACAAAGCACAGCTCAACTCCAACACCCTAACAAGCAACACATTTTTTTTTTTGTGATTTGTGAGGCTCAAATACTAATTAGTGTCAGTTTATGCAAAGTGCATTTACAAAACAAAATTAACAAAGTATGCTTCACACAAAAAATACATATTTCAATGTTTAAACATCTCTGCAACTTGTTTTCACCCTTTGTCTGCATTCATGAGCCCCTTATTGGTGAGTGTGGCAAAGGAAAAAAGTGCACAAATCAGTAGTGTTCATAACAGTTTCTCTGTCAGCTACATTATTATGCTTCACACATAAAAATAAAAGAAGCTTGGAAATCCCACCGTTTATAAGGCAAATAAAAAAAACAAAGTATGTTAGTAATGTCTCTTGGAATAACACTTCTTTAGAAAGCAAAAACAGAACACGTTCTAAGTTTAGAAAAGCTTATGGTGAAATCTGTGAACACAGAGCGATTTAATAAACAGCAACAACAGTCAACAGTCAAAAAGGCCTTCCAGTAAACAGAAAAGGGTGTTTTAAACAACCTAGTTCAGCTCCTTGAACTTCGTCATGTTTTGTCACATTATAACCAAAAACCTCAATTATTTCATTTGGATTTTATGTGATAGTGTGGCATGAATATTTGAAATCAACCTCCTTTACTCTGAAACCTATGGAAAAATTTCAGTTCAACCAAATGTAAAGGTCTTCGAGAGCCTAACAGAGAAGCAGCAAAGATGGCCATAGTAACTCTGGAGGAGCTGCAGAGAACCATGACTCAGGCTAGGGAATCTGCCAACAGCCTGGCTATTATGAGAAGTGACAAAAAAAAGTCAGTCTAAAGCCAGTAAAAAACAGAGCTTAAAAATTATTTTTTACAATTAATGTAGTTAGCAAACGCAAACTCGTGGAATTGTTTCTCGTTATAGAGACTATATTTTGCACATTCATGTTTGTGGTTTTACACAAGTCATTATTATCCATTTTAAAGCAGTAGATTAGTTATTAGAAAAAAAAAATCATAAATCTAAATATCTTTGTAAGCAGAAAAATAAATTTTAGCTCTTAAAATGTTGGATGTTACTGTTAAATTCCTCTGCTAATTTGCAATAATGAAGCTAATTGTCGACTGCAGTTTAGAAAGACTTTATCCCAGCCAAAATATGACCAGTTAAATTACAATCCAACAGTTCTAATTAAAGAAGGTCACTCTTAGGCTTTATAAACGTAACTTAGCATCATACCAAGCAAATAACACATTTGCTGAGATAAGATTACAGCATATATATATATATATATATATATATATATATATATATATATATATATATATATATATATATATATATATATACACACACACACACACAATTATAGAAGCATTTTATCTGGGCATAGAAACTTGCAAATTATCACACTTAAACGACAGGAGTCATGTCTTGTTGGACATCAAACTTTGCGTTTTAAATGGTGCTCATTGTAAAGCTCCCGGGAAACTCACATCAATCTTAAAGCAAATGGAAAATTGTCTAAGCCCCTTATAACCCTGATTCCAGGTAGCCCCATTTGGATTAAAATTAGATTAGATTCAAAGCAGCCATTGCTTTATATGAAAAGTTTCTCCTGCATGATTGTTTTCTTAATGCATCTGCAAAATTCAACTTTGAATAACACAGCCATTGATCCTTTGAACATGTTCAGAAATTTCACAATATAAGCATCAAAACTATGAAACACCATGTATCATAATGCACCACAGCTGCAGAATGTATGCCATTAGTAAGAAATAATGCAGTGGTTAATAGATAATAAAGTTACTTAATCTGATGTTACACTAAGCAGACATCTACGGTATCTATAACACCGTTTAAGATTCAATCACTTTGGCCTGCAGCATTAAGTGGCTCCATCTGTTTGCAGTTTGACCTACTTTGCAATTTAGAGCTTTTTATGCTGAGATGGTCAGCTGGTCCGTAAATATCCATCTAGAGGATGATATCATTGCACAATAACACACCCTTTCCTTAAGCAGCCTTAACCACTGTGAAATCCACACCTTTGATCCTGGTGTACACACATCATTCAGAGCAAGAGCACATCAAAGATGCACAGGCTTCATAAGCATGATCAGTTCAGTGTTTCACCCCATGCTCTTTAATTCCTCACATTCAAACCCAACATCACATGTCTTATGACTTGTCAAAATATATAGGAACATAGGAACCTCCTTTTTAGCATCTTTAAAGTAATTTGTTTTGGTTGCTCTATCTGAGCTTAAATCATTTTGGAACAAAAAATCTGTGTTTCTACAGTGCAAAATAATGGACCATAAGAAAAATTGGAAAAGCTGCTCAAGAATGTCTTGCAATCACTTCTGCTGTTTCTAAAAACCTGACTTTGAAAGCTAGAGGGGAAATTTAACATCTTTAAAGGTTTTATGAAGCTTAATTTTTTTTTTCCACTTTGAAAAAAAAGGTTCAACTGCATAGGATGCCTTGAAGAAATCTAATAGATGAAATGTTTTTAGCACGATTAACAGAAGGAAACCACAAACAGACTTGTTTCATACTGTCGGACTATTGGTCCCCGAGCTTCCCTCTGCTTCAGAGAACTTTCAGGAAGCATACACTCGACAGCTTGCTTTGTTTAGACAACGACAAACATAGATTAATAGTAGGAAATGATTTCAAGATCTGACCTGCATGTGATGTGCCCGTCAACGTTGAGTATGAAAAAAATATAAGCAGGCAAATTGCCAAGATTATGAACAGATCTTGTGATGTATCTATTATTTACCTCATGGTAAATAATGGATCTGGTTCTGCTTCTAGGCTTTGATTGTTTTCACTATAAATTTGATCCTGTATGGATTTAATGCATTTTATTATGTGAGCAAACTCCTCCATGTGTATTAAAAAAAAAAGAACACCATTTAACAAAATCAATATATAAGTATAAGGACACGGTTTGAATAAATGAGCTTTGGACCTAAATTCGTAACAATCACACAGCTGTCTAATCTTTATCGCATATGGTCACTTTATTGCAGCAAAACACATCTATTATATTTCTGATTCATGTGGACCAACAAAGGTACTGCATAATTCTGGGGTGAAAGGCTAATTATAAACAATGAAAAAATCTTTGCCATGTATTTGTATTCATCCCCTTTGAGTTCACAACTTGCTATTGCCGACACAAATTTGATCTCATGTGCCTTCGTCCACTGGTATGTGGGTGAGGGAATGGAGGGGGAGAGTTTTCCAAAGCCCAGGGAGGACATGGGAAATGGCATATTACATATTATGAGGAGGTTGGGGCTGATAGCTTGGCAGAAGAAAATTAAGGAGAGGTATATTAAATAAGGCATTCCCTGTCATTTCTTAATGTTCACAATAAAGTTTTCTGGCTGCACAACCACAAACCTACCAAGTCGTTTCATTACTATTAGCATAACTATTAGTCTCATATTCAAGTATGGCCTCATGGAAGAGTGGCAAGATGAAAGTAATAAGTCGTGTTTGCAGCAAACATGTGGAAGAAGGCGTTGGTCTGGTCCAATGAGACGAAACTCTTTAACTCACATGTTCAAAAGCAGGTGTTAAGAAACACATACTACACTTGTCCTTAAATACACCCTACGCATTGCGCTGTATACCGTCAAGATAATATTTGTCAAAGGAGTCAAGGGAACCTGGTCAAACCTGATTGAACAGATGGGGCTGAGTACAGGGCAATACTTTAAGAAAACATGTTAGAGGAAGCAAATGAGACATCCAGAGCTACCAAAAGATCATATTCATGTGATACAATGGCCCAGTCAAAGTCCAGACCTGAGAAACTGGAAAACTGCTCCTTAAAGAGAGTCTCGATCAGATTTTGCCAATGGACTGAACAAGGATGGCAGAGGCAAGCTCTGAAAAACAAAGAGGATTCAGTAAGAGTTCAATAAGTATGATTCTAAGTAGATACCACTTTTGTGGGGATACCATAAAATGCAGACATTATTTTATTTCTTTTCCACAATTACGCATCACTCCGTGCTGCACTATCACATAAAATCCCAAACAAAACACTTTATGGTTAAAAAATAAAAATAAAAAAATAGGAACAAGGTTCAAGAAGTATGAATGGTTTCCAATGCAGGTTATATAATTATTATTCAGAGCAGTGCAGCAAGAGGGTGGGCATCTTTAATGGAATCCAAACATAAAAGTGAAGATCTTCATCTGCTGACTTTTTTGGAAGCTTAGATATGAATTAGCCATTCTAATAACGGCCTTAAACAGTCTCCACTTCTCTACCTCTCAGCTCATTCTAGCATACCAGAAGACAAAAAAAAACACACTCACTACATAACACACATTATAGCCTTTCTGATATCTGAATCCACAGCTCTGGTAGCCACAAAAGGAAACAAATACAAAACAAAAACAGACTTTATACATTTTAAATGTCAAAAGAGGCATTTGTAAGGTGCAGGATTGATTATAAATGCTATATTACATTACTAACTTATCCAAGAGAGGGAGCTAACAGGATTTGGTTATTGATGATGTCACAAACAGTTACATGTCAAAATCAGTGTTTGGTTATTGCAGAGTCCGAATGGAAGTGATGGCTACATCCTGGCAGAGAACAAAATAACATTTCAATCTTATCCTTTATAGGTAGTTATTTGCTAAAGGATGCTACAATCTATATTTTGTGCAAAACTATAAATTCACAAGTGTGATGTAAAATGTATGGGATAGGTCAGAAAGGACTTTGAGGTTATATACTGTATTCAGTAGAGTAAAAAATATCTATTTCATTATTGTTCTAGCTGTATGAGTCTGTGTGGCAAGTCCAGCCTTTAGCGTATTTTCAGTTCTCTCCTCTGTGTTAATGTCAATCTCCCGCTGCGAGTCTCTCTTACAAAAAAAAGAGCAACCAAACAAAGTGCTTCAAATGCTACAGAGATGTGTTAGTTGTTGGAGTTCATCCTACCAGCAGAGAACAAGGGAGGCGGTGGGGGTAAATGTGAGGCAGTTGGCAACCCCCCCATGGGGTGCAGCAGAGGAAGAGACAGTTGGTTGCTGTGGAGGAGCTGGGGGCTGGAGGCAGCAGAGGGCGTGGCGTCAGAGACGGGAGTTCCCAGCAGCTTCGGAGCGGAGGAGTCTGTAGTTGGAGAAACTAGTGGCTGGTCGAAACCGAGGGGGTCTCCACAGCTGGGGACCACCATGGGGTTGCTGACGTGGAAACACTTCTCCCTGTGAGCCTTGAGCATGTTGGAGAAGCGGAAACGCTGGCCGCACACCTCGCAGGGGTACGGCTTCTCCCCGGTGTGAGTGCGGCGGTGGCGCTTCATGTTGGGCCGGCTGGTGAAGCTCTTCCCGCAGATCTCACAGATGTATGGCTTCTCACCTGTAGGATACAGGACAGCACAACTGTAAGCAGCTGATAGTGCCGTTTTCAATGCTGAGATGACTCTTTTACCGATCCCTACTGACCACTAATGAGTCTAATGGGAGAATTATCCCCCCTCTGTTAACAGCTTAGTGTGTTTCTACAGTGCCTTGCAATGACTAAGATAATTGTTTTCATTTTGTCACATTTCAACTACAACCTTTAACATATTTAATTAAGATTTTTTTGATAGACCATGATGGACCAACACAAAGCAGAGAAGCAACCAGACTGAGATCCAAAGCTCCGATTGGGAATCAAAAGACAAATATGAGCTAAAGGAAGAGACGTAAGAGGAAAGAAAAGCAGTTGCAATTGTTCACAAGCCCTGATAGGAATACACCAATTATATGAAAGGAAAGCGCTCTTTTAAGAAAAGACTACATTCATAGATTTTCGACAACCTACTAATGGTGTTTGCAGAAGAAAACCAGAGGCTTGCTTATGTGACACTGAAGTTTTTGCAATGTGTGCCTAGAAGGCCACCAAAACATGATGGACAAGCAACAGCTTGTACTGTGAGAGTTTGCAAACCTCTACTGACATCTTATTATTTTGCCCATAAATATCACAACGATCAACAGATTCTGAAAAACTCTTGGAAAGAAATCGGTCAGAATATCGGCTACAAAAAAGGTAAAATTGGTACGCTGTGTCGGCAATGTGTCTCTTTTCCACACGGAACATTGATTGAGTCAAACATAAACCAGATACCACGAACTGATGAACAGACTGTACACAGTGTGAGCCACACAGATGTCAGCCTTCATAGTGAAGGGTACCTATACTCGAATTTCTCATTACGAGCGCGCTTGATTTCCCACACTACCAAGGCATCGTCCGACAAGTTTAGCTTTGCAAAAAAAAAAAAAAGAAGTCTAGCTGGATGTCTTGTGCGGGATCATCTTCACCAGAGCAAACATGGCACACCTACCTGTGAGGCAGAGAGAGCAGCTGTGATTCTGAGGGTCCTTACATCTGACTGCTCTGAGCAATGTATCACTGCCTGCTATCGCCTCATGAACTCAGTATCTCATTTAAAACTGTTTGGAATGAATGATCCTTCCTGGGAGAAATACTTTCCAACCAAGCAGTGTAATGGTACCTACATACCATTTAGGCAGAATCTCACCATCTGTGCAGAATCTCACTGTCTGTGCAGACTCTGCACCCACCAGCGATGGTGCAGGTGGAGTGGTGAGTGATGAGCATACCTGCCTTCCAAGCAGTTCATCCATGTTTGACTCGATTCCCAGCCATTACAAAGTCTAGGGGATTGGTGGCCTAATAGGGGAGGTTCTGAGTTCAAACCCCACTACCATGGACTGCCACTGTTATTCCCTTTTAAATGGTTTGTTTTTTTTATCTCTCTAAAAGAGTACAATAAGTATATTATATAATAACATCATAAAATCGATTTTTCTTATAACATTTCAAAATCATTACCTAAATAAATAAAAGGGTTAACACCACCATACTGAATAAGACCCACGCTATGTCATAAAAGTCATAAAATTTTAAATTAAAGAACACATGAAAAATTGCATGTAATTATAAAATAACTCCAAAAAAAAAGCTTTAATAAAAGGTGGGAAAAGGTGAATCACCAGTGTGTGTCTTCATATGCTCATCAAAGTACTGCTTCATGTTGAAGTCCTTTCCGCACCACTGACACATGAACTGTTTGTGTCCGATGTGGATGCTCATGTGTGAACGCAGCTGGTATTTGTACTGGAAGCGCTCGCTGCAGCTCTGAAACGGCACACAGTGGACAACCTTGATAAGTGGCTATAAAACCTAGTGGTGGATGTGGCTGGAGCTCAATAAAATCATAGTCAAAATCCAGATGTATTACTGAGTATTACTTTAAACTCAGAAATTTAGTTCAACAAAAGTGACACAAACCGTGTTAATATCGTCAGAAAGACTAAAGGGATCAATATTCACTGTTGTTCAATGGGATCTTTCTTATATCAGAGTGTGGGTCTATAAAAATCTGGATTTCATCACTACATCAAAGGCATCTCCAAGAGGTCTTAAGAAAATCATATATCACTAAAAAAAAGGATCTCAAACCTCACACTTGAAGGGTTTCTCTCCCGAGTGCTGCAGAGAGTGAACCTTTAGTGACATGCTGCGCTTGAACGACTTCCCACACGTCTCGCAGGTAAATGGCATGTCCTTCGTATGGGCTACAAATGCAGACACATAAAACATTACAGGCCAGTCTAAATCAAACTAGAAACATTTCCCTTTTTTTTCCCCCAATAAATTCTCTTGATAACTCCCATCACATATTTGACATGGTTAGCCAAATTCTGTGATCTACATTATATTGATACACTGCAAAAATGATCTAAAAATGACCTTAAAATAAGTGCATTTACCCTTAATTTAAGAAGGTGAATAATGATCTGCTAATGGAATTAGTATTTTTACGGTTAAAATAAGATAATTAAATATTATGCACTCAAAATGCAAGAATGCAGTTACATGATTTTTTGTTTTTTTAAGGTAAATACTTATTATATTGGCAAAGTGTCTCATTTGCCTGCTTAATTTAAAAAGAACGCATTTACTTTGAGAAAAATTTACTTAGATTTCAATTTTTGGCAGTTTAGTTTATATCTTACAATCATTTTACCCTTTTTTTTCTGTAACATGCTTTATTTTAATGGGCTAAATGTAACCGCTAGCTGTCACAAAATGTCCTTCTAATGGTTGTATATGGGCAAAACTGTCTGCTTTAATCCACTTAGTTTTTCCTGCAGTGAATATAGCCTAAGATTTATCTCATCTCCATTAATCTCAAAAGATGCCTCTGACTTAGAACCAAGAAATACCGGAGAAAGCAAGTCACAACCATGGCATCATAAAGTCTTTGAAATACCACAATATTTGAAATAAAAACAAATAAACCAAAAAGAAAATTGCTTGTGCAGGGGTGTTTCAGCAGGATAAACATCCAAGATATTATGACCAAATCCACACAGAAATCCTTTGCAGACAAAAAAACGTTTCCAGATCATCTTATCCCTCTAAAACAATCCTAAAAAAGATGATGCATTAAAGAGGACCAAGTAATTAGGATTATCGAGATAGATTGTGCCAAAAAAGGTCAAAGGTTCCTTCCTCTGTATGCACACAGCCTTTGTGAAATTTTACAGAAGTGTATAGCTGAGAAAATTGAGATGTGTCAATGTTACACACACTGGAATATATTAAACTAATAAGTAATTCTGCTAAGAAATTAATTCGGAGACTTAAAATTTGATTGAAAAAGACCAGGATATCCAACCCTAAGCGTCAGATAAATCTCAATTGGAGTAAAGTACAAATGCAAAATATTCATGGATGGATGTACACATAGAGTGTGGTCAGCCTGTCCAGGAAGCAAGATGCTTATCCTTCATAAAAAAGTGGAAGAGGAAAGTAACACCCAAAACAAATCCTGATCAACAATTAAAGAGCCGTAGAGGAGGAAGCCCAAGTAAACAAGGGAACGAGGTGACTTAAGGAGATAGTTGATGTTAGTGCCACTCACCGACCATGTGCTTCCTGACATGAGCCATGGTGTAAAACTTCTTCTCGCAGATCTCACAGGAGAACTTCTTCTCAGCGTAGCCGTGGACAATCTTGTTGTGCTCGTGGAGAGACCACAGCTTCTTGAAGGCCTTTCCGCAGGTCACACACTTTCAAACAACACCACGAAAGAGGTAAGATGTTATGACGACTGGGGTTTTTAGAGGACAATATGTTTAAGGCATCAATAACTGAAGCTTTTCATATACAAGAAGAGTTTTACTTAAAGCAGCTGTTGTCTCAAAAAGAGTAAAGCAGTAATAATTTCAAACCAACAACATGATTTGCATTCTTTAAAGGAATAGTGGAAGATTTTTATTAATTTTTTTAAAAGACCCGCCCTCTCCACTTTAAAAAAAAGAATGCACATGCACAACCCTGTACCTGCTCCCAAGAGGGAACACCTATTAAGCGCATGCAAGAGCATGCACAAGCTCGTTTTTTTCTGTTTGAAAGTTGCTGTTTGCATCACTCAAAAGCTTCCTCTCTAGAAGAAGATTGCAATATTTCCACCATGTCAGACTCACCACCGGAAAGTGAAAATGGGGACGAGCATGTAGGATGGCCTTACGTAAACATATCACCAGAATGATTCGCCAATAGAAGGGGCGCTTATTTTGATGATCAGCCCGAAAAAAGAACATCCTCGACTATACCTTTAAGCAGTGCATAATTGTGAAGTCTCTAAAATGAACCTCTAAAAATAAACCTCTAAAAACATATGATGCAATTTACATAAAGCTCCCTCTAAAATCATCTGATGGTAAAAGCAAGAGGCTCTGTGGAGGCCACATAGATATATAATAGATCATCAGTGGAGAAACGACACCGTGTGGACTAAGGAGACCTTGAGACAGCTTAGGGAAAGAGTTATGGAGAAGTTTAAAGGGAGGTTAGGTTTAAAAACAAGAGCTGATTGCTTCAAACAAACAACATCCAGACTAATTTCATGGCTCACTCTTAATACTATTTCTGATAAAGTAAGGGAGAAGAAACTGTATTTTTTGTACAATTTTTCTGCTGAACTTTGATTAAATAATGTAAAAGTTAAATTCCTGTTTGAGAGTTGTTTACTATAAGAATAAGCATTATTTAGAGTGCTATTTAAAGAGCGATTGCTCCAAGCAGTAGAACGGGATAGTTAATATGATAGATGAATGGAGCTTAATAAAAGGCAAACCCTAAAGAAAACCGATTAGGGCCAAAGTTCTTTTTTTAGTAATATATTAGCCCTACATACAGCAAGAATGGTTCTATGTTTTTCTAATGTTTTACATAAACACATACTGTGTTAAAATTGACTGGTCAAACTTCTGACTAAAAGCCAAGTGAGATTCAGTCAGACGGCTCGAAAATTCATTCTTACACACACTCTCGATTTAATGGGACAGTGCATTTTGCAAAAAGAACATGCAAAAAAAGTCACTTTATATGAGATCTTTGCATGAAAAGTTTTCCAACAAATTACCATATCCTGCTAGGGGAGTACTTGTTTTATGCTTTTTTTCCCCAGTTTGTTAGCAAATAAAGCCCCTCCTGTATATTTACAGTAACAGAATCAGGTGATCAGAGGTACAAATACTGTGCATGTGTGGATCGGGTAGACAAGAAAGTGATGTGGCCCAGTTAAGTTGGTAAAATAAGGAAGAAAAGTTCAAGATCCAGAGTCAAAAAATGCAAATAAATATTTGATTTGACTATACATTATGAAGGTTGGTGTTCACCGATACCAACAACTAAGATAACAATGCTACTCTTAGTCTCTAAAGTCTATGGAGAAGCGACATAATGACTGACTGAAAAGATATGGGGTGCAGTTTTTTTGCAGCTGCTTAAACTCACAAACCACATCAGATTCAATTCAGGGCTCATTAATATTACACTTATTTGGTAAATAGGATTTTAATGAGTTTAACTGGCATTAAGTTAAATAATTAGGTTTTGGCGTATGATGGAAATGTTCTTTTCCTTTGATGGTCAGGTAGGAAGCTCTGGAAAAGATTCACTATAACTTAGAGTAGCTTTAGATCCCTTTATTTAATCAATGGTGCTTGGCAAAGCTAGGCCGTCGTTTTTCCATGAGGCATTGCAAGACTCTATTAGGCAGTCGGGATCTATTAGGAAGCCATGCCAATATTTTACATTTAGCTTTGTGATGGGGAAAACACCTTTATGATGGACACTTGATGTGTATAACCTTATTTTATCATGATCAAAGGGTTTATGGTCTTTTAGTAAAGGCATATAACATAAAAATGTACCTTTAAACTGTCCTACCTGGATGCTTCTCTCACAGTCAGTCTGTTGGTGCAGCAGCAGCTCACTCTCCAGTAGGAAGCGCTTCCCACAGTTATTGCAGATCTGCATACGGTTGTGGGTGACGTTCATGTGTTTCTCCAGGTACCAGCGGTTGTTGAAGATGCGAGGGCATTTCTTACATGGGAAGTGTTGTTTTTCCTCCAGCCTAACCTTCTGGCCGAGGCCCTCAGCATCTAGTCCCTTCTTCCCGCCCTGTCGTTGATTGGCCACAGTGGCCTCTGTAAGAGTCTGTCGCATGGTGGTGGCGCCTGCCACAGTCAAGGCTCTGGTGGCCCGGCGAGGTCGATCCATTACAGTGGGCTGCTCAAGTCCAGGAATGTTTAGGGTGTTTTCCTCCTCCTCTTCATCCTCTTCATCTTCCTCTTCACTAGTACAACCCAGCATGCCTCTCTTCTTTAGGTCTTCATCACCTTCCTCTCCATGTCCTTCACCATTCTCCATTCCATTGTCTTCATGGCCATCAAAGTCTCTCTCATTTTCATGACAACAACCAAACATAGGTTCTGTGCTTGTGGAAGATTTTCCATCTGATCCCTTTGAGACATTCAGAGTCTGGTTGTTGAGGTTAACTTCAACTATGATCTGATCTCTGTTGAAGGAAGCGTGACTATCCGCTGGAGTTGATCCATCCACATTGTCCTCTGCTTTGCACGTAGTGGTCACACCTGTGCTGCCCCCCCCTACTCCTTCTTCTTTCTGATAGTACTGCTTTGTCTGGGCAGCCATCTTTCCAACCTCCTCCACTCTGATAGAGAATGGGTTGCTGCCTTCTCTAGTGTAGACCCTGCCAAGCTCAGATTCCTGTTTGATCTCCCGATAGAGCTGGCAGGGAGGCATCTCTGCTTGCTCACAGCTGCTAAACCCCCCCTGATTGGCCATCTCTTTACAGGTGGCTCTCAGCGAATGAGTACTAAGGAGGTCTCGACAGGATGCAGCGATGTCGCTCATCTGAAGCACAGTGGCAGCGTTGAGCACGTCACAGACGGTGCTGCTGCTCACCAGCAGCTTGGAGGTGTAAATGAAGTTGAGGATCTGCTGAAGGCCCTGAGAGGTCAGAGCATCCAGCAACAGATCCACACGTCGAAGCTGTTTGCTTTGGGCAAAAAGAGAGTGGAAGAAGGGACTGTAGGCTGCCAGCACTCCCTTGTGAGCAGGAAAGGTGCTGTGATGGCGCACCAAGACGATGTCCACGTCACAGAGGTCAGGCTGGAAGAGGCGCTGCTCATTTAGCCTGTCCATCAAACAGGTGAAGTGCAGAGCCACATCCTCCACCAGAGAGAACTCAGCAGAGGGGAAGTCTGTGGTCTTCTCCACTATGAGCTGAAACAAAACATAATGAAGATTAAGATTTATTAACATTAACTCTGGAATCCAATATCTGTTCCTGGAGGTCAGAATTTTGTATAATTAAGATGTTTAACCTTTACAGCTGATTTAAATAAAAGATTCAGCAAGAAGTGCAAGAAGTTGTTTCTGCAGGGTCGTCTCTAGGTACTCCTACTTCTTCCCAAAGACAAGGTATGCAAATCATGGCTGCTGGGTTAAATTAATCTGTCTGTTTGCCTTAGCAGTGAGTCAGTGTACATGGCTGTTCGTCCAGAGTGTCTCTAAGATGCCCTGTGGATTGTTGACTCCAGAGTCTATTCCAATACTAATGACCCAAAGAGAAAGACGCCAGTTACCATGGATGGAGAGAAAGATGGATTGATGACATACATAATTTCTGGAATCATAACCCTCACATGTTTGAGCAGCACCCAACCATTGATGCTTCTAAAAATACAAAAAAACCCAAAACAGAATTACTTTAGACTTACTTTTCTCCAGTATGTTGTTAGTGTTGAGACTTTACACAGCATAAATAATCTTTTTATATAGAAATTGTGAGCAGCTGACAAATGGATGCTCCCCCAATAAACACACTATTCCTACTGTAAAATCAGCTCTAAAACTACCTCCTATGGCAGCTTCACCCCCCCTTCTCGATTCCATACTTTTACCTTTTAGAAAGTGGCTGGTAAATTTGTCCCTGCATCCTAACATGAAAGGTTTTAGCTTGAAGTTTCACTAACACATATTTCCCTCTTCTACATCTTTAACTTCATTAATAAGGATCTTTCTTAAAATAAAACACCTGCTTTATAGATTCTATTCCCCATTAAATGTGTTTCTCAGAATTTTTTTCTGCTCACAGTGTCCTTTAAGTGGCAATTTGAAACGTGAAGTTTGTCTCATAACGCTCATTTTAAAACTTTATATGTTATAAACTTGTCTTCTCCAAAGTTTTTCTTAAATTTTCTATTTTTTACAGATTTTTTTATGTCAATTTGATCACAGAATTATAAACCTGAGGCATTAAATGATGTGCAAAGCAATATTGGTGACAAACCATATACTGTACATAAAATGAAATAAACAAGAAAGACAACATTTAGGTGGAAAAATAGGCATTTGTGTGTTCCCAAAATTAAAGCCTAATCAATAAGGAACCCTAAAATATAAGCTCATACCAGTTCCTGTGCATGCTTCAAAGTGTTGGGCTGCATGCAGAGTGTGACCCTAGTCAGTGAAAAATCAAAAGGTGTAACAATCAGCACTCTGTGCAAGGTCCTCGACATCCCAAGGTGGGTTTATTTTAGCACAGGAAGGGCAGGGTTTCGATCCAGACGGGATGTGACTGAGGACAGAGCAGCAAACAGTGTAGGCGGACACAGACCCCTACATGCACACACACACACACACACACACACACAAACCGGTTGTCCAATCTCTACCAAAAACGCATACACACCAGACAGAAACACAGTGTCTGGTCTCTCTGCAAAGACTGACCGGCTTGTGCATTGGTATTCAGTGCCATTTCCCCTCTTATTGGCTGGCTGCTGCAGCGGCACACTCTCCCTAAGGTATGACGAATTATGCACAAGACAAAACATGTCAGGAAAAAAGAAAACAGGGAAACCTTGCTGATTAAATAACAAATAACCCTCCAAAAAAGATAGATGCTAAAGTCCAGGGGCAATTTGAACGCCCTGATTAAAACATAATTTTTTTAGTAGCTGCTGTAAACGATTCAGCAGGAAGAAGTAATTACCTTTCCCATGATACTGTGGGTTTAAAAGAACAACTTACGGCTTCTATGCAGCATATCAGAGTCTACATGGGGGTGAAATGCTTTATTTCTGTTCTTTCTTGGCATCATTTTCATCACATTCTTTCCTCTATTTTTAGAGGTTGGGAAAAGATTAGCATTCCCTCTTTCTAACCTTGAGAATATGCTCTGTTTGACAAATTCACTTATAATGTTTTAGATTTATTCATAGTTTTGAGCTGCAGAATTGGAGCTCTCAGCACAAGGTGTCAGACGGCAGCTGAGGGTAAAATGCTGCAGCTTAAACCCTAACCAGAGCAAGTTGTGAGCTGAAAGGTAATAATATGTTCCATCTTTTGAGATGTTATCTAAAGCGACCGATCCAAATTCTTAGATTTCTGTTTAATATATTAAAACATATTAAACAGAAATCTAAAAATCAACTGATTCAATTTACTTAACCTGAAATCTTTTGATTCTAAAAGAATTATGATTTTTTTTTTCATCCCAATACATTCCTCCTAATAATCTATCAGAGATAAAACCAACCGAGGTGGACAGTAAATTCAGAAAGAAAGGTAAATATTATTATATGAATGTTCTCAAATGCTGCAGCAGTTACCATAATAACATAATATCATTCATTGCTATCAGGCGTTATGTCTGCACTAATGAAGTTTCTTAAACCCCAGAATACAAAATGCTGGACATAGCTGACATGAGAGAAGAGTATGCCCCATTTTCAGATTGAGTCTAATTAGTGGCCACTTAAAGCTGCCTGCAGAGAATCAGCTTTCATCCCCAGATGCTCAGAAGCACATAGTTTACGTACTCTTCTTTCCAAGATATTACAAACAACTCACACAAATAGGATTTATTATTTTCCCATTTGAGCCCATGTAAAATGTATCATTCCATGTCAGGTCATCAAACATGAAAAAATAAAGCTGTGACAAAATTTATATAGAGATATTGAATCTGAAAACAAACAAACTATTGGAAAATCTAAATTTAAAATCCATTAATTTTATAGTATTGGTGTTCGAACTAGGGCTGAAACTCTTACATCGGATTAGTCAATTATTGAAATAATCGTCAACTAATTTGGTAATTGATGAAACGTTAACTGGAGCATAGAGACTCTAAAACAAAAATGCAAATTTTGCATTTAAGATAAAAAAAACATATTTGCCCATCAATATGCTCTATCCAAAGTGGAAAAGTTTTAGCTTCACCTGGTTTAATTTCACAAAGGATTCCCTTTAAGGAACCTTTGGCCATCTGATTAAATAATTAAAAAAATAATCAACAGATTAATCAGTTTGCAAAATAATGGTTAGTTGCAGCCCTAGATCCAGGTAAATCTTTACTAACAGCACATTTATAACACTCTACTTTAACAGCAGTGAGACGCTACAGAGAGGACTGTCACTGTTTTTGCTGTATTACTTCCGTTTCTTTTTGTAGATTTAAGCTTAAATTAACATTTCAAAGCCACCAATAAATAACTGCATTGCTTTGGTTTACAACAAATGTATTCCGATGAAGAGGATCTGAAAAATAATCATCAGGTTCGTGAACAAAACATGGATTTTGGTAAACCTATAATTAACTTAGAACACACAGACAGATGCTTTGTAAGAGTTTTATGCAGTGAGAAACAACAATTGCGTCTCTTCATACTGCAACCATAATCCAACTCCCATGATCTCCTTCTGACCTTCCCCTTTTTCTCACTTCTTTTCCTTCCCGCTAAAATGTCAGGGAGAGAGCTTGTTTGCTATCATTAGAGCAGTGCCACCTTTAATCAGCCTCTCAGTCAGATGTCTCCCTATACATTATTCATACGACACCGGCCCTGCGACAAACACATAGTGGCGAAGATTACCGACACAACCCGACACGGTGTGTCAATTAAACTGCCTTCAATCAAAGCAACACTCTCAGTTTAAAAGACAGATTATTTTATCGCTCGTCCAAGGCAGCAATGTAGTCGGCATTTTAGGGGCCTGTTTTTACAAAGCAGCTCTTAAGGCTGACGTAGAAAAGTCCCATGAAATCATTTTTTTTATTTGATGCAGAACATTTTAATCCTCTAGATGTGATTTAGAAACAGGGAGGTTGTTGTGGAAACAAGGGTTTGACTTGCTTTCCTCAGCATCCTGATGCTCAAGCTGTTAAGACTGGACTAATATGTACAGACATGTTTTTATTTGTTTTCTTGCCGTTGTTTGGTTTTTTTCAGCCCCTATTTATTGCAAGATGTCCGTAAACTCCCCGTCCTTGCTCTGCAGCAGGAGGAGAGCAGATAAACCTGGAAATCCTATAAAGACTGCGAGTGATGATTAAGTTTATGTCAGAAAAGCTTTTAAATCACATGGTCCACAGAACCATGCACTTCAGTCCATTTTCTGGGAAATCTGAGCTCTAATCATCACATGAAACCACACTTAACTGAATATTTTTGTCAGTTGCAAACTGTAGGATTTGCTGACTGTTGCCAACCAGTAGCAGCAACATTTTAAAAAAATGATGCATTTCCTTGCAATTTATTAATTAAAAATGTAGAAAGTTGTACTTAGTCTTGTCTCCATTAATATGTAGTCACTGCCAAAGATTAAATACATTAAGGATGTTAAATTTTGGCATACCTAAATAAAATTGGTAGGGTGCGTTTAAAAAAAATGGATCTACGCCATCAGAGACATTATAATCAATAACTGTTTAATCAAATGTTGTTATACAGCAATTATACCCCACAAAAAAGCAAAGGACAACAAGAAACAGATATCAGAAACAAAAAGCTAAAGTTCTTGATGCTGTTGTATAATAATGCTCTCAGCATATGTGAGATTTAGCCTTTCAAACACTAAAACTGTTCAGTAAATCCATACAAATCAGTTAATGCTGGCATCCTAATATACGGCAGGAAAAATATTTCACCCAAATTTTAAAATTATGTGATTTCTTTACATAAATTCCCATTTAGTTTTTTTGTAAATAATTTTTACACAAACTTATTAAATAAAACTCAAATGATTCATATCCATTAGTAAGCTATTATTAATAAAGCTTATTTAAAACACATAATTGACAGGTTTAATTATTTAGAATGAATAAAGTATATTTAGAATGAATAAATAAGAATAAATACTTAAGATTAATACTGAGTGTATTCATTCATCTCACTTATTCAAACAGTAATCATACTATCATTTTAAATAAGTAT